ATATCTTAAGACACTAGTATTAAATAATTGTGGGAGGGTGGTATAATAAGGACAGTATTCCTAATTAAAAGTCTTTAACAAACTTTTTTTTATCTGATTCATGTACCAAATACGATGTGCACAAATAATTATACCATCGGAAACAACTTTATTATGTGTATTACGTATACGTATGCAAAAGACATTTAGTAGCATCTGTTAGGTATACCTACATTACTGCAATTTATCTAAAATATTGCGAATATGTCACAAAACTATGTTATTCAAAACACTTAATATTACAAAACAGCGATTAGTTTCGAATTAGATAAACTAACATCTATTATGGCCGTTTGTAGAATCGCCGTGAAATTGATTAACATAATTATTATGTATCTATTCAAATGTTGTCCGACATCTGTCACAATGACATGCAGTTTGAAATTTTGTTGTTATTTTTTTTTAAATATCGCCATTTCAATTGTGCCAAATTTTTTCTCGCATTAATGTAACGACTCGTATTTAATTTACACTTATTTAATTTCTATAGGATTCCACAAAAAGTCTCCGTGTAACTTTGTTCTCCCAACATTTTTATCAAGCTTTGCTGGCATGGTGTCGTATATTAGTTCTGAGCGCCATGTTTAATATTGCAAAGAGATTTAGCTCACTTTTTAAATTGCTGCTACGTGCCTGATGCCACCTCTCCTTGGGAGTGTAAACGCTTGAGACGGCATAAAGGTTTTTTTTTTAAAGACAATTCACGCACTATGAATATATACTGTATCCCGGGGGACTTTACAAACATACATGAAACGGACACAAAGAACACCCCAGGCTCAGAACGACAATTGGTGGATCACAAAAAGTGTTATCCCAGGTGGGGATCGAACCCACAACACTCGTAGTAAAGAAGCGGCGTAGCCACCGCTTAAAAAATAAGCAATCCGTGCAGCCGATGATGAAAAGTCGTGAAATTGAAGATAGGGACATGGACTTATGGTAAAGGATAACTCAAGCCTCGAATTGTAAAAGGCACTTGGACTGCCGTAGCTTGAAGAGGGGGTAGATTATTTCCGACCTGTGATAGGAGAGGCATCCACGCCAAGAATATTGATTGGCCAAATGGCCTCGTACATATATTATAATATTTTAATCTGCTTGTTCGGGAAAGTACACATGGCAAATGAAATACCTGCTTCAATTCAATTTACATGTGTGTGATATTCCGGTAAGTATTTATTATACGTTTACATATGTATCAATTGGGAAATAAATTGGGTTTTTTATTCACATATTAGCAAATTATTATTAGTTCAAAACCAATTTGCGTTAATGGTTTCAATTTTTCTAGTAATGGTTTATCACAGATACTAAGTGCTACTGATCAAGTATTGCATTTACTGTGTGTACGGTTACAGAACTACAGTTGATTCCGTATTTATATAAAGAAAATACAAAAATGTTGAACACATGCAAAACCGAAATTTTAAATGAACTGATTAGAATACAAAACACAACTACTGCGGATATAGTGTAGAGTAAGTTAAATAACATAACATGCCATGAGATAATTATCAGCCAGTTAGCCTATTACGGACAAAAAAAGAATAACCTTAAAACTCATAACTAACTATAGTAACTATAATGCAATTGTACTCATCTTCAAGTTCATTGTACGTTAGTGTTGGATTCGACTATTGAAAGCATACTTTAGACACGTTAGCATTACTTAACAAGTTGCTTAATTAAATACTGTCAATGCTCATCAAATTTGTCGAATAATGGTTGTTCATCACACACATAATTAATTCAACTTGGGCTCTCATTGGCACTCATTGGGCAACATCTTGAATTAGGCGCATTTCATTATTCATTTTTTGTTACCTAATCTGTGATTCTAGGTGACTATACCTAGTGTGATCGTAATGAAATTGAATGGCTTTAAGTCAGCTAGAGAGGTTTTTTTAGGTTTAGTTTTTCTCATTACTAATCCGTTTTGCCGTCAAACCTATATCGTGATTGAGTACCCAGTACAAAACTATTAAATTTGCCAAAATTGTTCTATTTATCTAGCAAAATCACAAACAGACACTTATAACATATAAGTTTTTAGTAGTATATATATATATATAGTACATATAATATTTTAGTAATTTGTGATTTTCCTTGAAAAAAAATATATGACTGTTTGCGTACTAAAATAATTTTTTCGTATCAAATTTCCGCCATAGGATAAACTATAATTATCTTAAAACAAATTTGTATTCAAAGATGAATTGAATTGTTTTAAAAATCTTAATAATTTAAATATTTATTCTACGATATAGAGCAAAAGTTGGAATTTGATCGAGGACCGAACGATAAAACAGACAGTATATTGTTAAAAAGTTTCTGAGTATTTTCGTTGAGAGCTTAAAACATTTAAAATTATGTATGTTTCAATAATTGAAGAAAAAATAACTCGAACTTTACAACTTTTTATTTCATTCCGCTACATATTATTGCTCGCAGGTATACAGGGAAATGATTATACCCTGTATAATGCATGAACCGAGTGACCTAATCTATTATTGTGATGAGTCAGCTGATTTTTACATGTTAGTTTATTCAATGGAACGATCACAACGTTATGCTTAATGAAAACATGCAACTGCCAAACAAAAAACATATGTACACTTTCGCTTTCATTGATATCGATTGACGCTACACAAAATGTTATTATTCCCACGCTTGTAGTAATTCAATGCAGTGATTTTTATATACGATAATTGTTACGTGTGGTTAAATTAAAACAGCCTATTGGTTCACATTGTTACAAAAGTAGTTTATGGTGTAGAATAGATACTTAATTGTAAGTAAGCAGGTAGGTACACAGTGTTACCTAAACATTTTACTTCTCTCAACTATGTAAAGGGTTTTACGCTTGATGTTGTTAAATATGTACATACGATAAAAAATATTGCATTTTCATAACCTTAAAATTTTGTTAGGTGAAAAGCGAACATTGCTTATTCTATAGGAAGACATTAAATCAACATCGTGATATTTGACCAAGGATGTTGAAGGAATGTGAGTAATAATTATATACATAGGTAATCCGTGTGGTGACGGATTAATAACACGGAGTGTCACAACCCCTAACTATCTCTATCTATCTGGATGAATTACGATTTATATCATAATCGGTTGATTAGTAAACGCGCCAAAACAAACACAACTAAAGTTGTTATATAGTGAGAAACATATGGAGTGACAACAAACAAACACCGTGGGGTGAACGATTAAGAATACAGAGTGTCACCACCTCTATTCATATCGTCTAAATAGCTGTCTAAGGGAGCAAACTACGTAGGACAACAGAAAGAAGGAAAACTTGCCACAGACCCTATACCAACCCGTATGGGGCGCGTGGTATAGTAGGCCGAAACCTCCTTCCTAAGGAGAGGCTTATGTTCAGTAATAGACTATTAAAGGCTGTTGATGATGATGACAGGTAATTATAAGTTTGAATGACGAAACGGTCAGTAATTTTGTTCTAAATAGGTCACGTATACAAACGTATACACGTATACAAAATTTTCTACAGACATGATGACAATTTTAATGTTCCTCAGTCACGAACTACGAAAAGTAAACAGATCAATGCCGGGCAAATCGTAAGTTCAATTGTCTAAATTTTTAACCTTAAAGAAGAACCTTTTCGTATCGTAATTAGTTTTTTTCTTGTTCTTATGTAGGACTAATATTGTCCTCATAATGACTAAACTGGGTTTACAGGCAATAGGAAAGAATCAAAATTCAAACACAAGATGACTACATTAACCACAGACTAGGCTAACAACTGTAAATAGCGGTCGGGGCTACTAAGTAAGTCACACACTATCCAACAAATGTTCCTTAAAACTCGATGTCTAGTAGTTCCTTTGTCCTCATGAGTGCGTACATTTTCTATTCTAAATAGGTCACTTAATACAAAATTTGCCATGGGCAAGATGACCTATTTAGGCCGGGCGCCATTCACGTTTCAATTTTAATGTTTCCCAGTCACGAACTATGACAAGTAAGTGTTCAAATGTATGAACCTTGAAGTTACCCATCCGTTCGCTGGCGGCCGTCACGCCGCCCTAGTTCGTACAGAGAGCGGAGCGTGGGAAAATCACTTATGCAAATTCCGGGGAATCGATAATCGTGGTGATGCGCGATCGGTTGAGCGGCGCGGGCGCTGCTTCGAGCGAAAGGAAAGTGCATAGGTTGCGCAACTATGTACAGCGGTGCAATACGCTCGTACCGGCGTCATACAAGGTGTACTGCGCTTCATGAACATATGTAAAAAATATAAATTTCTAGGACTAAGTGCGTATACAACAAATATTAGATTTTAGCATTTAACGCACCATTACTACTAAAATTGTTTTTCAGTCCCAAAAATCAGAAAATAATAATATTAGGCAAATAGGCCATGTCCGGATGTATTAATTCCCTGTACTAATCCCTCCTATTACAGGCGCAGAGTGGCACACCGTGTGGTTTTAGTCGGTCCGATTCCGACACATCACCCCGCCGTAAATCCCGGTGGGGTGACGGCCCGAGGGGGTTTCCACACGTAAAAAAAAAAGGCCAAAAAAATTAGGCTTAACTATTTAAGTAAGTAACTGTGAAAATTGATGCAAAAAATTATTATATATTTTGCAAAGTGAATATTATTTTTGAATAAATGACAATAGAATACTTTTGAGCGCCCCGGCATTCTGTATTAAGCACTTAATGTCACAGAGTTGCGTACGCCCGGTGAAACACCAATACTTCCTCACAACTTAGTAGCAATAAAACACTACTTGAAAAATATGTAGAAAACACACAAAACCGAATTCTTTAAACATGCATTTACCTTATTGGGCACATTAGAATACAAGAAAAACACATAAAACATATTGTGGTCACTTCCGATATTGTCACAATTGAATGCAGCGTTGTAACAGGTGCGGCTGTGGGTCACATGCCACTGTCGGTCGACTTACCCAAGACGGGGAGCAATGTAAGCAAGATCCACACAGGGGACATGTTGTCGCGATGTGCGTCGCGAATGGACTGGCTGGCTGTTGGATGCGCACGCGCCGCCCGCCCGGCTCCTAAGGAGGGGAGATCTGAAAGCTTGCCGCCCGCCCGCTGACGATTGCTATACGATCCACAGCCTAGAATCAAAACCGTAAAACCATTCAATAACTCATTGACATTTATGGCGATTTTCCGGCTTTAGAAAACATTCCATTCAAGCTTTCAAGCATCAGCAGTAGCTTATGATAAAACTGAAAATACACTGTAGACCAAAAAGAAAAATTATATATATATATATATATATATATATACAAATATAAAAAAAATACTGTTCGTAGTTTAGCACTCTTAATATCGTGAGTCTGACTTGACAATGTTTCATATTAAATGTTCATTAACGTAAGATTATGTTTTTAGCAAAAGAAAAACCTTAGAAAAATTGTTCTAAAAATTTAAAAAATCTTTTAAAACATGACAAGATATAATTTTCATGTTTTAAAAGATTTCCAATCGTTGAAGTTTTGACCAAACAACATCTATCTATCAGCTAGAAAAAAATAACTAAGTATTTAGCGACTCGAATTAAAAAAAAAATTGAAATTCACTTATTTTCTCTACTATAATATGCATGTATTATACATATACTGCATCGGTGGTGCAGTGGTAGTGTATGCGACTGCTGTGCTGAGGTCTCGGATTCGATTCCCGGGTCGGACCAAATGTTTGTATGATCTGCAAATATTTGTGTCGGAGTTTGTGTGTTTTATAATAAGAATGTATTTAAAAAAAAAGTATTTAAGTAATATATCAGTCATTCTAGATTTCATAGTACAAGTTCTGCTTAGTTTGAAACTAGATGGCGTTGTGTGTCAGGTGTCTGAAATATTACTATGATTGTTAGGCCTTCTTGAATCACTCTATTAAACACTATTAATGAAAATCGCATTAAAATCCGTCGCGTAGTGTGAAAGATCTAAACGTAAAGGAACGGGAAGCGACTACATTTTATACTACGAGTATGTAAGTAAATGCTTTTATGCTTTCGTCCGCCACGTTTGTAAAAAGGTGTGTAAAGAACATTTTTCACCTATTAATTTGTAGATTATAATAAATGTCAATGCATGACTTTCTGTGACCATTCTTAAACTAAAGAAGTACTTTACGTAATCTAACTTATTGCTTGTGCTCTATGACCAAACAGTGAAAACATTAATGTGATTTATTAGACGTGAACGATGACTATCTCGACGAACTATTGTTTTGTCTGCCCATCACTCAAACAACATTGCATTACGTCACACTTACGGACATCTAAAAACCTATTATTCTGTATTTTACAGACCAGGCTTATGGACGAACTATTAATTATCTATAGGACTTATATATATTCAAATTATAAGCTTCAGTAATAGCGATAGAACTGTCTTGTATATATAAATATCTATGGGGTCTTCTACCAATAAGAACGTCCTGGTTTAAAAATTGAATAAAACACACAATTTTTTATGAAAAATGCATCCGGTTGACTTATTTCATAAATAATTTTATGCAATTTATGTTTTAAATAATATATCGGCCAAATGACCGCCGCGGCTCTTTTTGCAGACGGTCACCCGCTCACGAGAATTTTCGATAACGCGGTGCACCATTTTGGCCGGTATGTCGGCTATGGCTCGTCGAATGTTGGTTTTTAGGTCACGAATTGTAGCTGGATTATTGCTGTACACTTTAGTTTTAACGTAACCCCAAAGAAAGTAGTCTAAAGGTGTTAAATCACACGATCTTGTGGCCAACTGATCGGTCCATTTCTCAAAATTAACGACTCACCAAACTTTCACTCGAGTAATGTGAGGTGGTGCACCGTCTTGTTGAAAATAAAGGTCGTCTGCATCAATATTATCAAATTCCGGAAAGAAATATTCGGTTGACATCGAGTTATAGCGCTCGCCATTCACAGTAACAGGGTTTCCTTCGTCACTTTCAAAGAAGTACGGACTAATGATTCCACCGTACCACAAACCGCACCAAACTGTTATTTTTTGCGGATGCAATGGTGATTCATGAACCACGCGTGGATTTGAATCACTCCAATAGCGACAATTTGGTTTATTAACAAATCCATTGAGCCAGAAATGTGCCTCATCTGAGAAGACGATTTTACGATGAAAATCGTCATCGGCTTCCATAATTTCCAGTGCATAATCGGCAAATTCACGACGGATACAATGGTCGGATGGCTGCAATTCTTGTGCCAAAACAATTTTGTATGGGTGTAGGCCCAAATCCAACCGCAAAATACGCCAGGTGGTCATTGGAGAGAGCCCCAACTCTTGTGAACGGCGTTGAACTGATCGATTTGAATTCGCATCAACACTGGCCTGAACGGCTGCGATATTCTCTTCACTACCGGCATTTCTTTGTCTCACAGGCACAGCAGTATCGTGAAGAGTGAATTCACTTTCAAATTTTGTTATTACGCGATTTATAGCGCACAGAAGGAGCCAAAACCAAGCCAGGCCAAGCCAAACCAGGAGTAGGCCAAAACCTCCTTTCTAAGGAGAGGCTTATGTCCAGCAGTGGACTATTAAAGGCTGTTGATGATGATGATGATGACAGAAGGAGCACTATGACGACCGTTTTTTACGCGAAGCGCTCTTACTGTAGCGGTAGGAGAACGCGAATTTGCGTAATAATTTTGGACTATTTCCAAGCGTTGGTTTAAAGTGGAACGTGACATGATAAAATGGCAAACCTTACTGAACACAAATGTCAAGAGACGTCAAAGATCCATCATCAGACATGGCCGCTATGAGCTGTCAAAACCAGGTCATCCCTATTGGTAGACCCAGTTAAATAAATAAGAGCCATGGTCACATATGAAGCCATAAATTAAGAAGATTTGTCTTCCTTTTATTTCTTGAAATATTGATTTCTCACTTCACTGTACTTTAAAAGAAAACAAAAAGAGATGAGTTACAAATATGTAGATGTAATAATCAGCGGTCTTATCACTCAAGGTTATCTCTAACAGACAACCTTTTTACGGATATTATTTAACAATTTAAGGTAGTTTGTGGCATACAAATACGAGTATAAAGTTAATATGTTATGTGAATACTTAAAAACATCAAAGAAAAACTGTAAATTATTAACATTATGAATGTTGTAAAATTTATTTTAGGATAGATTAATTGAGAATAGATTTTACGTAATAGAAAAAGCTCATAGCTACCGGTGGGACAGTATGTGAGACACCAATATTTAGGACAAGTTAGGCTGCTCGGCATTTTTACATTTTAGGTGGTCACCTTTAAAATACTGGAAAAAGAAGCTACAAAAATTACTCATTGCTTAGATCCTTACCAACCATCCTTACCAGAGAAAACACACCTATGCAGAAACCGTAGAGATGCTTAAGTTATCAATACTCTAAAGCAGGCACACTGCAAACACACGAATCTACCAATATACCTACAGAGCATAGAGATAATTTCATCATCGTCGATCATCATCAACAGCCTTTAATAGTCTACTGCTGGACATAGGCCTCTGCTTAAAAGTGGGTTTGGACCACCTATACCACGCGGGCCATACGAGTTAGTAAAGGGTTTGTGTTAAGTTTTCCTGCTCTTTGTAGTGCTATTGTCCTGCATTGTTTTTCCCTTAGTCGGCTATTACGACACCCACGGGATAAATAGAGGAAGTGGTGACACCACCTCTATTTATCCCGTTGGGTTATCTATCTTAATCCGTCACCACACGGACCAGAGATAATTTACAAAACATCTACTGTCTACTCAAACAATCTCTCTATCTAATGTAAATCAGCACATAAAACTGCTAGAGTCCTGGTAAGGTCCTTACAATAAAACCTTAGCTACCAGAGTACTATTTTAACATTTCTGTTGTGTATACTATTATTAATAAATAATAAAAATAATAAAAATGTTTATTTCATCTCCACAAATTACATTTTGTTTTATGTTTAACAGTTGACAGGAAAACTGTCAAGAAATTATTAAAATGAATACTTACTTATTTTATTTTATTTGGGTAGCTTACAGCTACAGTATAAGTAAATCAGTAATTTAGTTGATGAAATACCAATAACTAGCTTCCACAGATACAAAATATTAAAATTAAATACAACTTTCGAAATCGTCGATAATCAAAAGGTTATTTTATATGTATTCATATATATATATATTATTATTTTAAGTCATTGCGGACCTCTTGGTCTATTGGTTAGTGACCCTGGCTGTAGATCGTGGGTGGAAACCCAGGACAAATAATTATTTTTGTGATGAGCGTGATCATTTGTCCTGTGCCTGGGTATAAATTATCTATAATATGTATGTATTTAGAAATATTTAAGTATGTTTGCAAGCAGTCTGGTTACCATAGTGCAAGCTCTGTCTAGTTTAGGATCAGAAAGCCGTGTGTGAGATGTGTCAAGTTATTATTATTATTCTATATGTACTCCTGAAAATATGACAGAAGACAGACTTATGTAAAGATACAAATACTCGTATATAGGTATTATAAATGCACTTGCGGTATTTAATATACATATAAACGATTACACATGCAGACGTACCCACGCCTCACGTAACTTGACATTATGTAAATAACTAAAATAATGTAATACGCTGCCACTATACTTAGACGCATTTTTATACTTTTCTAAATAGCATCTTCATTGCAATGGAAATAGCACTTGTGTAATGCAATCATACACTATTACACAGATAAAAGTTGTTGAGATGTTCTTCTTGACCTATTCTTTGTATACATAATCAATTTCAAAAGTTATTTTTGAATAAGCTTTTGCCTACTACTTTGCTTATAAATATATAGATGTTGTCAATTAGTTTAGATGTTCTTTGGGAGCAGTTAACACTTAAGAAAGTAATGTCCAAAAACCCTGACGGGAAAAAAATATTGGATGCTATTTAGGTTAATTGTAAGAATTTTGTGTTAGGCTGTATAAATTATTTTGTTTTGCTTGAATGATTTAATAAGTAAGTCGTAAAAGTAAACTATTATGAAAAATACTATAAAACACAAATTAGAAACTAGTAGCAGGCACTAGCTATGAGTAATTAAGTTCCTACCTACTACCCAAATTATTGTTGTGTTCTCATTTGTGTTTTTGTATCTATGGATTTAGATAAGAACATTGTAATTTAAAACTCAACTTAAAGGTCTTATTTTTAAAACTCAATACCAGTTTTAAATATGTCCTATTTTACTACATACAGTCAGCTAACGTTCTTATTATGCAATACGCCTAAAAATTCTTCTAAAACTTCCTATTGTTTAGACATCCTTCGTCTGCAATGTACACAAATAAGTTTAGATACGAATCAGTGACGGTATGCAGCGTGGGACACCTTAATGATTGTGCCTACATGTAATTCCTCAAAGCCCACTGTTTGTTGAATTAACTACGTAGGTACAATTAACAAATATAAATAACTATATGACTCAGTTGCCATTGAGTTTAAGCATTACCATGATTAAACAGAAGTGTAATTGATGTACACAATAAGCGCAAGATTAGCACAAGGATGTAATGTCAAAATATTATTACACGTTTTAAAAAATTATGCATCCTTTAATATAATTCATAGGTCACAGAGCGTTTTAAAATAATCATGGAACGCATCCACTCACATTTTAAAGAATTTAATTGTGGGTTATAGTAAATAAAATTTCTGTATCACCACGTAGTCCTGACTCTACCGAAGTGCCGGAGACTCGGAGTATTGATACCTCTGTTTTATGTGGGAACAGAAACTATTAGATGGTAAAATGTAAGTGTACCCTTTTAGTGGTTTGAGAATGTATGAAAATGAAAGTAACTTAGCAGCATATTTTCACATTATCAAATTCAATATTTATAACAAACATTATAGTTCAAGCGAGGTGCAACGTGTGTTTACAAACATATTAATTTAAAAACAAGTACAAAGTCATAGTTTGCATAATGTTAATAACATTGATACAGGGATTAGATTACCTACTTTGTACAAAAATGAAAATATGTATAACGACTTGTCTTTACCAATTTGTTGGCAAATGGAATTTTTTGTTGTTTTTAGGAAGAACGGGCACCTGATGGAAAGTGACACCGCCGCCCATGAACGTCTGCAACTCAGGACTCACAAGTTATTCTAAAATCGGTTGAATTAATGACGTTGTTTAAATAATTATTGGCCAATGCAGCTAACAACAGTTAGTCTATAACAGATTAGAACAATCAGATATCTTATTTATCTCTTTCTTATATTTCGCTTCGAAATCTTGCTTATAACTTTAACCCTTTCTTTAATCTATTATGAAAATAAACAATATAGTTACCAACAATAATTTCGTATTATTTCTTTAAAACTCAATTACAATAACAAAATATTTGTACCATTAAACAGCAAATACGTTTCGTCACTGCAAAAGCACGCGCGATCTTAAGTGAGCATCTTGCATTAGCACGAGTGTCAAGCGGGTGCTCAGTCGTGAAAGATTCCCATGAGGTGTCTTGCCTCATACGGCTCTTGTTTCGCGAACACGTTCTCATAGCACCTACTACGGAACTTCAATTTCTCGCAACTAAACCTAGGTAAAAAAGGTTTCTAATAAAAAATGTGAATCTGTTAAAAGAGACTAATTTCTAGAGGAGAAAACTCCAGTCGTATGAATAAGGGTAGTCAACTTTCTAAGCTGATATCAAAACATATAAGATTTCCTACATCCATAATGATATTTCTCGAAGTTGATTCATTAAACACACACACATATTTTCTTTCGCACAGCTTTCTTTAGAAAAATGTCATGCTTCTTCTTCTCAAACATCATCATCATCAACAATAACGACAAGCCTTTAATAGTCCACTGCTGGACACAGGCCTCTCCTTAGAAAGGAGGTTTTGGCTTACTATACTACGCTGGCCAAACGGGTTGGTGTAGGGTTTGTGTCAAGTTTTCCTTCTCTTTGCAGTGCTGTTGTCCTGCGTAGTTCTCTCCCTTAGTCGGCTCTTACGACACCCACGAGATAAATAAGGGTGGTGACACTCCGTATTCTTAATCTGTCACCACACGGACGACATACTTCTTTTGCGCGTTTTGAAACTAACTTTTGAAACTAACTATATTAATGAGATTCTAAAAGTCAGGAAAAAAGTTTTCTGTTACAACAACTTACGACCAGGATCCGAAGCATGTCACATTTCTCATGTCAATGCTCGATTTAATCATCTTTTTTACAGGCTCGCCATATTGGGGCATCTATTGCGTAGCAACCGTCGCATCTAACCGGATGCGCTGTTTAAATTACACATAATAACTTCGTATTTTTGTTTATATTACCTATTATACTATAACCTAACAACGTATTTTGTTAATTTCCGCTTTAAATGCCTAAATCTCACGTGTATTATTTCTATTGAATGTCAACGTAGGTATAGTCTTATGTAATCAACAGTAAAAATGAAGTTTTAGAGAGTAATTCATTAATTTGTCATATTATGGGGTTAAATAAGCGTCGTTTATATCGAGAATAAGAACGATTCTCATAGTTTGTAAAGCCTCATACATACGTAACGATTTATCGTAGCGATAAATCTGTGCAGACCAGTTTGCGCAGTTTTATCGATCGTGTGTATGAAAAATCGTTGTCGATAATCGTTCGTCGGTGGCAGTTTCAATTTCTATCAGATAAATCGTTGTCGATTATATTTGCACAGTTTTATCGTTGCGTGTGGACGGCGATCGCTCAGTTCGGCAGTACTTCACGGAGCTTGCTAGTGTGCGCACGTGCAGATCACTAAAGCGAGCAGATTTAAATATGCCTCTTCATTCATCCTTAAATAGTTATGCCAATCTTGCGGAGCGAATTTCAACTCGCATAACAAGTTGGTATGAGAAAATTGCTTCCTTTTCATGAGCCAGTCTTTACACCATAGACTCCGCTTCTTTTTTTTCTTTAAACACATAACCAGGCCTAATATAGCAAGTGCGTCATAATCTTCCATTGTTAACATGTATCTTGCGCGAGCTTCTGCTGAGAACTGTCCGATCGACGTCGCTATCGGAGGCGTGTGGAGGCACTAGGAACGTTCGATTTATCTGCACAGTCTGAAATCGCTACGATAAATCGTTACGTATGTATGAGGCTTAACGAGACACCTCTCGACGCACGACAAGGCAGTGCAACGCCCTACTTGCAAATAACTGTCGAAAGCTTAACTGTCTGTCATTGATAGATAAATAAACATTAGAAAATCCTAGAGACGATAACTTATTTGAGAAAGATGTACCTACCATGTAGGAAAAAGTGTAACGCTATGAAAAGTTACACCTGAACGTAACTAT